CTGCGCGCCCGCCTGCCGCCCGGCAAGTGCGTCTTCGTGTTCGAGTCGGCGCTGGAGCTCATGGCCGCGACGCGCGTGGGCACGTTCGAGATGCGCCCCGGCGCGAAGAGGAAGGGATTGCACCCCGTGCTCAGGTCCGTGCTGCGCAAGCTCGGCCTCGTCGGCAGGGAGGAGGATAAGCTCGCAGGGTACTTGGCCCTGCTTAAGACCGCGCCGAAGCTGCTCAAGCTTGTGCCCGGGAGCGGCGCGAGGGACTTGAGACACTGGCTTAAGGTGTATGCGTACTGGAACGCGGGCGGGAAGCGGAACGTCGTTGAGATGATAAAATATATCGCGGGGGAGGTGCTGGGGGTGCGCCAGGGCAGCGGGGGGGAGATCGTGCAGGTGCCGAATGTCGGGCTGGTGCATCCGGAGTGGAAAGGGCATTTCTTCGAGCATCCGAGCGAGTACGTCGCGTGGTATGAGGGGAGGTTTCCAGAGAGGAAGGGGTGGAGTCGGGTGGGCGTGCTGCTGTATCGGAAACATGTTGTGTCGGAGCTCGGATATATCGACAACCTGATCGAGTGGTTCGAGGAGGCGCGGCTGGTGCCCGTGCCCGTGTTCATCACCGGCGTCGAGGCGCATATCGTCGTCCGCGACTTCTTGACGTCGACAGAGGAGGAGCGGCGGCGGGGGGGAGGAGAGAGGTTGTACGGCTCGTTCCGGAAGGGGAAGGCCGCGAGAGTGGACGCGGTCGTGTCGACCATCGGGTACGTGTGCGTGACGTGGGCAACAGCGAGGCTGACCGTGAGATTGTATCTGACTGACTGGTTTCTCTTCTTTTTTTTCTTTATGTTTTGCCCGTTTCTCGGCAATAGGTTTCCGCTCGTCGGCGGGCCCGCCGGCTCCATGGCTGGCGGCCGGAATGCGGATGTCGGGCAGGTTATTCTGCGCCAGCTCAACGTCCCATACCTTGTTGCCGCCCCGCTGCTGATTCAGGACCTGAAGTCGTGGGAGAAGAACGGCGTGGCGGGGCTGCAGTCCGTCGTGCTATACAGCCTGCCGGAGCTCGATGGCGCCATTGACACCGTGTGCATCGGAGGTTTAGTGGGAGAGGACATCTTCCTCATCCGTGACCGTGTGCAGCGCTTGACGGGCCGCCTGAACAAGTGGATAGCTCTGAGGAAGAAGCCAAACTCGGAGAAAAAAATCGCCATTGTGATCTATGGCTTCCCGCCCTCTATCGGCGCCACGGGGACCGCCGCGCTGCTCAACGTGCCCAAATCCTTGGCGAGCATGCTCCGCAGGCTCAAGGCTGAGGGCTACGATGTCGGAGACGGCGACCAGCTGTCCGCCGAGCAGCTTCTCACATTGGTGAAGGAAAAGGACCAAGTCATGCAAGGCGGCAAGCTCAACGCCGCATCGGCCCGCGAGGCCCTGCAGCAGACCACGACCGTGCCGAGCAGCGACTTGAAGCGCTGGATGTCCGCGGCGGACACGGAGCGCATTGAAAAGTCATGGAACGCCGACATGGGCTCCTCCAACAACATCAAGACGTTCGCCGATCGCCACTTGCTCGGCGGACTGCGGCTGGGCAATGTGTGGATCGGTGTCCAGCCCCCGCTCGGCATTGTCGGAGACCCCATGCGTATGATGTTTGACCGCGACCTCACCCCGCATCCGCAGTATGCCGCGTTTTATCGCTGGATCGAACTCGGCCTCATGGCGGATGCCGCCATCCATGTTGGCACCCATGGCACGTATGAGTGGCTCCCTGGAAATCCCTTGGGCAACTCCCGAGACAGCTGGTCGGATATTTTCATCGGCGACCTTCCTAATTTGTACGTATATGCGGCTAACAATCCGAGCGAAGCGTCTCTGGCGAAGCGCAGGGGGTATGCCACCATCATTTCGCACAACGTCCCGCCGTATGGGCGCGCCGCTCTGTATGGCCAGTTGGAACAGCTCAAATCGCTCATCTGGGAGTTTAATGAGTCGATGCAAAGCGCAGGCGCTTTGGAGCGCAGAAAGGAAATCCGTATCGCTATCGAGGACAAGCTGCTCACGTCGGGGCTCAATGTCGACCTTGGCATTGACTTGGACAAGGCTGAAACGATCGATTTTATCGCAGATGTTTCGACCTACTTGAAGACTCTGGAGTCGCGCTTGTTCTCTTCCGGATTGCACGTGCTCGGCCGCGCTCCTGACCCGGGCGAAGCCGTTGGTTTTGTCGAAGCGCTGTTGGGCAATGACCCGGAGCTCATCCCCGAGGGCGAAGCGACGGCACTTGCTCAAAGTATTGTCGCTTCTGTTATGGACAGGGCTGAATTTGATGCGATGAGGGATTGGCCTGACCTTAGTGCCAGTGCTTTTAAGGATTTAGAATTGGTCACGTCAGCCCGGGAGGTTGTGGAAAAGTTAATGGAGACCGAGAAGGAGTTGGACAACATGATCCGGGGACTGAACGGAGAGTTTATTGAGGCGCTTCCTGGAGGTGACGTTCTGCGAGACGGAGCGGGAGTGCTTCCTACCGGGTCAAACATCCATGCGCTGGACCCGTACCGACTTCCATCGCAGGTTGCGTACGCAACCGGGCGTGCAATTGCGGAGCGGGTAATCCAAGTGCATCGCGACGCGAATAACGGGGAATACCCAGAGACGATAGCTGTTCCATTGTGGGGTTTAGACAACATCAAGACGAAAGGAGAGTCGGTGGGGATTGTGCTCGGGCTCCTAGGGGCGGAACCAGTGGTAGATGGGACGGGAAGAGTGGTGCGGTTTGAACTGATGGACCTGGAGCGACTAGGCAGGCCACGGGTGGATGTGCTGATGAGCCTGAGTGGAATCTTCCGGGACTCGTTCGAGCACGTTGTTTTTTTGCTCGACGATGTGTGCCGGCGAGCGGCAGATTCGGGCGAGCCGGTGGAGCAAAACTTTATCAAGAAGCACGCAGAAAGCGTGTCGGGCGAGGACGGAGATGAGGTGGACTCTGCGGCGCGGCTGTTCTCCAACCCGCCCGCGGACTACGGGTCGATGGTAAGCGAGCAAGTGGCAGAGTCGTCGTGGGACGACGGGGCGGAGCTCGCGGGGACGTTTGTGAAGCGCAACGCGTACGTGTACGGGCGGGGTCGCAACGGGCAGCGCAGCGAGGCGACGTTGAAGAAGGTGCTGTCGACGACGGCGCGGGTGGTGCAGCAGATCGACAGCGTGGAGTACGGGCTGAGCGACATCCAGGAGTACTACGCGAACACGGGGGCGCTGCTCAAGGCGGCGCGGGTGGAGAACGAGGGGGCGCGCGTGGGGGCGTCGATCGTGGAGTCGTTCGGGGCGGCGCGCGACGGCGGCGAGGGGCGCGAGCCCAAGGAGCTCGAACAGGTGCTGCGGTTGGAGCTCCGCACGCGGCTGCTCAACCCAGAGTGGGCGCGGCGCATGCTCGCAAACGGCAGCGGCGGGGCGTTCGAGGTGTCCACCAGGATGACGGCGCTCGTCGGGTGGGGCGGCACGGCCGGGTTCGGCGACGACTTTGTGTTCGAGCAGGCCGCGGAGAGATACGTGCTGGACGAGCGCAACAGGGACGTGATCCGGAAGGCAAGCCCGGAGGCGTATCGGTACGTGTTGCCGCGCGAGCGCGCGTGGGTGGGTGCTTGAGGGGGGCGTTGGGCGTCGTCGGTGAGGCGCGCAACGGCGTGACGGGATGGAGTGGAGACTTTTTTTTTTTTTTTTTTTTTGTCCATGGGACTAACTCGGAGTTTTCGCGGAATGCGGTGTGTGACGACGCGATGATGCGCGCGAGCAGGAATATCTTGTCGCGATTTCTGGAAGCTGCCGGACGAGGGATTTGGGAGAACCCGGACGACAAGCTCCTCGAGACGATGCGCAGCGAACTCGAGGAGATCGACTCAGAGATTGAGGGCGTGGCCTAGCTGCACGTGTACTGTAGTGTGTATCGGACCGTTGTTGTGATATGAGGACGCGCAGACTCGCGCCTCCTCGACAAGAAAGAAGAGGATACGGGCGCCACCTTGACTTGTGAGTTGGGGCCAGAAGGAAGTTTGTGAGAAGTGCATGTTCTTCCTGGTCATTTTTTGGGTGTGTGTGGGAAAGAATGTTTTTTGAAGCACCTTCAAGGCGCATGTAAAATAGCTTGGGGGGGAAAGTAAAAAGGCCAGTTTAAAAAGGCTAGTTTAGAACGGCAACTTGGTACTCAATCTGCGCTATATGTACACGTGTACAGTCGTGGCAAATCGTGTTCAGCTGCACACGTTTATGCACAGCAATGAAACCCGGCAGTGCGAGGAAGTCGCACTCTCCCTCTCCACAATTGCAATGTGCTCTTCGACCGTTGGCAGCACGAAGGCCAATGCAATTCAATACTGCAACAACCGACACTTGCAGAGTCGGTCACCACAAGCTGTGAAGCAGGGCAGGGCAACTAAGGAACGCATCCTTAGAATTAGTATAGAGAGAAATGAGAAGCTTAGAGGGAGGGAGGGAGAATACACGCACGAGCGGTTTGTACGCCCAGGCCTTTTTTTTTGTGCCTTCCACTTTTGTTTGTAGAGTAGCGATCCCTCTCCACCGCCAACTATCCGCGTCATGGAAAAATTCCATGCACTCATATAACAGTACCCCTTGGGTACAGTATTGCTAGGGTATTGTTAGTGTTTGTGCGCATTCAAAGCTGCTATCCCGGTGCTCTGCAAGGTTAGGGTATTGTTATTGTTTGTGCGCATTCAAAGCAACTATGCCGATGCTCTGTCCAAAATACTGTAGCCTTTTAAATGCTCAATTTAATTTATATACCTGTGCAAAAACAAGCTGTCCCCATATGACGTTTTGTGTGGATAGCAACGGGGGCGAAAGGAGAGTGGGTTGTGGATAAATGTAAATGTACAGGCGGAGTATGTTGCAGAGACGTGTTGCCAACGTGGCGGGCAGTTGTGCAGCGCGGCGTGCAGGTACTGTAACAACCTATTCCCAGTGGCGACTTGTTCCCAGCGAGCGAGTGCAGCGCGGCGGTGCGGCGTGCAGGAAACAACCTGTTCCCAGCGAGTGAGAGTGCGGGGCTTGCACAACTTGGAGGCACGCGAGAGAGACAGAGGCGCATAACGGGTGTTGTTTTGTAAGAGGGGGAGGCCGGTTGGGTTTTCCCTTTTCTGGGGGGAAGCGTAGTGTCCAGGGTGAGTGCGGTCTGTCCCCCCCGACCCTCGCCCACCTTCCACGCTGTTATTGTCTGTCCAGGCCTTCTTGAAGCGTGCACTCGCCCGACCCAGATTTCCCTAACCGTCTACGAGCGCTTCCCTAAAATTCATATAAAATCCTTCCTCTACAGTAGCGTTGTCCGTAAAATAACGCGTTGTTTTTTTCCATGGGCAAATGCCCACAAACTCGCTGACGCGCAGGGCGTGAACTAAACGCGAGTTTGAAAAATCCCACCACGAGGTTTACGTAGATGTACAGACCTTCAGCAAGGTGACCTCCAGCAAGGTACCTGCCCGCAACAAACGGAAGTCTGGTACCCTTGGGTACATCGTTGTGCCGCCCGACGGATCACGTGCACCAGCGCGAATACTCGCTGAAGCGAATATCGTAGCTCGCCACAAGGATAGAATGGTTGTCAGTCGAAAGGGCGATGATGTTTCGTCTTGTTGACAGGCTGAGGGGGGAAGTTTAGAGAGGACCGCTTCTGGCGATGTGTTTCGTCTTGTTGACAGGCTGAGGGGGGAAGTTTAGAGAGGACCGCTTCTTAGAAGCTTCTACTTGTCTTCTTTCGCGGTTGCTTCGGCGGCATCTGTGGCAGATGCTGTCGCGCTTTGATCCATTGATGGACTCTGCGCAGATGAAGCGATAGGGGCGTCCATGCCGCATATCGATACGACCCTTGCAGTCGCCATTCCATGAGACTCGTTTGTGCTGCTGAAAAGAACGGAAGACCCACATGGTTTTTCTTCACGACGGGGTCGATCCGGCACTGCTGCGATCAGGCTGGGTGTGAAACTCGTGGAAAACTCAGATGCCCGAAAATTGTAAATTTGCACTAAAAATTCTTTCATAACGAATAGCACGACGTGCACGCGCGCGGCACGCGCGCAGCACGGGCTTTTGCGCGGCGTCATGCGGTCCGCGTCCGCGGCTACGGGCGGGTTCTCCCTGGTTGTAAATAAAACGCGATATGCACCGTGATTTTAATACAATTCTCAATAAACTCAATTACAGTAGGGGTGGGCGGGACTCCTCGGCGTGGGGCGGAGCGGACGCTGTTTCCTCTCGCGCGCGCGCGCGAGAGTCCTTGTCGGGGCGGCGCGCGGCGGTTGGCGCAGCCCGCTCGCGCCTTACGCGCCGTTCGCAGGCGCCCGTACGGGTACGCGCGCCGAGCGAGGGTGCAGTGGTGGCGGAATTCGCGAGTTTGTGTGCGCGCGGCCGCCCCGGCCGACACGATTCGCCCGCCGCGGGC